CACCCATTGATCTGGGTTCTTTCTGAGTCCACACAAGGTTTTGAGATGAATAATGATGCCAAGGTCAGGGCCATAGTTGTGGGGTACCAACCACATCGAAACTTCGATGCATCGATATTTGACTAATTGACTGATCCTACGATGGTTTCAAAGATCAAGTCTCCTTCCTACAGGCCTCTTAGTATTTCTCTAAATCCTGGAAAGAGGAAATCTGATGATCCTGGAGGAGAAAATGAGATACCCAAAGGGAAACATGTGTTTACAAGGATTCCAGATTTCTGAGCTTTCAAAATCCAAGACTGACTGAGGCAATGCTTGACATCATAGAATTATCTGGTTAAAATGCAACCTCAGCCTAATGTGAACATTCAGCCCAGTGACCTGGCTGATGTTCTCTCCAATATGGCTTGAAAAGTATTTTGGAAAATTGTGCACACTGGGTCAGTGTACCTAAAAGGCTTCAGAACAAGTGAGGTAATCCTGGAGCCACAATATTAATGGAAAGACAAGTATTCTAGGATTCAGTGATGCTAGATTATACTTCCTTCTAGGTCATGAGCAGATTAAATTCCTTCTGGTACAACTGAACTACCCCATATGCAGGTCTCAGGGCTGGAACACCAGAGAGTCTGATGGAGCAAGCAGCCGGTGGTTTGGCCCCAGGGAGGGCCCAGTCTGAAGGGTGATGATGTTCCCCACCCTACTCCCGCCTCAAAGTATTTCATGTGTGCAGTTTCCTGAATGCTCAGCAGCCTAGGACAAGGTTTTAATTAAAGAAGCTTTTAGGAAATTTACTCTCTCCATTAAAGTCAAATGAACAAAACTGAAAAGATCTATTGCCCAAGGAGCTCCAGTTGTTTCCAAACACCTCTCTGTGTGCTGGGCTGCACAGAACATTAGCAAAACAAAGACAAGGATGACTCTAAGGTTGGAAGATGAGAAAGAGTCTGGAACAGTCTCAGCCTCTATGATGTTGTTCCTAGTCCTGGGGGATTATTTTACAGCGCATTATGATCCCTCAAGTATAGCTTTGACCCTTCCCTTCTCATAGACTTCTTATAGAAGAAGACAGTCTCCATGTGGGCAAGTTCAACCTAATGAAAGGGGGTAGTCAGACCCTAGAGAGTATTGTGGAGGCTGGCATGAGGCCAGTGCCAGGGGAGTGGCCTTGAACCCTTGGACCAGGTGCCACATGTTTCTCAAGAGGACACCACATCCAGCTAGCCTTGGAATGAACACAGCTTCTCCTGAAGTTGAAGGTTCCTCGGCTGGCCACTCTGTTTCTTCTCTTCTCATTCTGTAAGCAGAGGAAACTTGTCTGCTAAACTTAGTGCTTAGAGCACAGGCTCTAGTACTACAAAGAGGAAATAGTTCAGCTCCATCTTTAAAGCAAAGAAGAAATGAGTTCAGACTCAAATCCTGCCACAGCCTGCTCTGTGCATGGGGCCAGTCATTTCCTCTTTAGGGGCCTCATCCCCTGCTTTCAGTGGAGCAGGGATGCTGAAGAGATAAGCTCTAATCCACATGAAGTCCCCCATAGGATTCTTACACACAGTAGATGCTCAAAAAAATAAGAGTGTCTGTCTTCTTCAGACCCTGCATCTTGACACTAGGATTCTAGAAGCACTGGAATTGGGGTGGGGTCAGCTGTGATGGAGGCAGATAAGCAGGGGTTGGGGTAGGTGGCCAGAGTCCACACTGAGGACTGAGAAAACTTCACTGGAGTGACCTAGTCTTGGCCCCTCCAAGACTAGCTGGGCCCTTATAAAGTGAGCCGTCCCTTATGTCACCATCAGCCAAGCCCCCCAGAAGAGGAACAGTGTTGGGGGCTGGCGGCAGCAGGATCTTCCCAGACACCCTTTCCCTGCTCAGTCCATACCCAGAGCAACATCTGCATGTGTGACCTGGTGGGATTCTAGAACATTGAGGGCTTTCAGAGTCTCCCGGACACTGGACTTCAATGGAGGCACAAGCATGCCCATGGTGGTGGTGGTTGGGTGGTTGTGTGCTGTGGAGTCAGTTCTGACTCATAGAGACCATGTATAGGGTTTCCAAGGTTATTAAGCTTTACAGGAGCAGAAAGCCTCCACTTTATCCCACAGAACAACTAGTAGTTTTGAACTGCTGACCTTGAGGTTAGCAGCCCGACTCATAACCACTGATTTACCAGAGCCGTTCCCATATTCTCAGGCACTCAGTTTCCCAATGCAGTTGGCCCTGATTTAGAAATATTGTTGCGAGTGTGAAGACAGAAGGGGGGAGGGGGCAGCAGTCTCAGTTTAATATAACCTATGACTTTGGTTTGACCCATGACGTATGTCTAAGTCTCCATGCCTGGTGTGGCCCCCAGTTCTCAGGAGGCCATGAATAGGAAGGGGTTCTGTGGGCTCCGGAGGACTGGTCAACTTCTTCCAACCCACATAAGCGTTGGGGTTGCAAAGGGACAGGTGCTAAGGCAGGAGTGGGACCGAGGGGTCTCATCTCCTCACGGGTTTCCTGCCTCATCCGGGCACAGTCCAGGCCTCTGTAACCTATGTTCTCAGGTCCTCTCTGTCTGGGCTGACCCCTTGGGAGTCTGAAGAAAGCCAGACCCCCGCAAAGAAATGAACAGCCTCAGAGAAGTTGGTGTGTGATTGAAGGCATCCGTGAACCCATAAGGCCCTCAAGGTTAAGAAGCCAGGGACTCAATTTCTCATCCTCTCTTAGCTACTAAAGGTCACTTTCATGATCAGCTAAGTACTGCAGCCCCTGGGAACCCTTTACTGATGTTCTCAAACCAGTCAGTAGCCTCCCAGCATGTTTTGTGGATTCCTGTGGGCAGCATTAATCTCACTTGACTCTACTGGGCAAATCCACCTCCTCCAGAAGACTGAGTTCCCTGGAGCCCAGCCTGTGGGCTCCAGTGTCCAGCTCCCACAGAGTGGTGTCGGGAAGTCTGACTGAGTAAGGGAAAAAGGGAGACCACAGCCACCTAAACAGCTCTCTGGAGTTGGTAGACTTCCATCACTTTACCCATCACTTCCATACTCCAGAATCACAAATGGTTCCCAACCACCCCATTTCAGCTGGGAAGAATTAGTGCTATTGGAGCAAGACAGAGCCTCCTCTTATATTGGAGCCCCACTGAGCAGGATCAGATAGACTTCTGGGATGTGGCAGGTAGTGGTCCCCCTCCTCAAACTAGGCCCTTTGGATGGGGACCTAAACCCCTCTCAGATCCAGGGACCCATTGTGGGGATGGCACCGAAAGTAGAAAATTGCAAGGAGCCTGGAGGACCTTTACAAGTCATTTTCCTTTATTTCCTTATCATAGAATGAAATATCAATTCCAGAGAGACGGATATGCAGAGCAGACAGATTCAGGGGCCTGTACGTACTCGGCAGGACCAGGCTGAGAGCAGGTCTGACATTCTTCCTTTTCCATCACAACCCTCCTCACCCCTCCTGGCTCTGCCCTTTGCCGAGGCAGAAACTTAGAAGTTGGGAAGGAGCCAGGTCCGTTTCTTGGTCCAGGAAGTAGCTAGACCCGGCCTTGGCTGGGAGGTCTGGCTGCATCTTTATCTAGCTGCGGGAGCCTTGTGTGTTGAATGGGCTATAAGTCCCTGCTGTGTAATTGGGAGCAGAGTGTTCAGCTGTCACGCTGGGTAGGTGCCTGTTAAGGGCCTCCTGCTCAGTTGTGTCTCCTGGTTTTCCTCCCCTTCACGGCTTGAGTCGCAGACGGTCAAACTGCTCTGGCCCTGGTGAGATGAATGGATTTGTGGCCATCGAGCTTAAGAATTCGGGCTCTGAACTGCCCTTGGGCTGCACCAGTTGTGAATTTCAGTGAGTCAAAACTAACTCATCCTCCAGGTGAGCCCGGGGGACCTCAGAGAGCCGGTGCTGGATACCCACGCTCCCAAAGCCTCCTCCTCCTCAGGATAATCATCTGCTTCCAGAGGGCCATTCTGTCCTCAGGTGTGGGGCTTCAGATAAGCCTTTAACACATACTCACACACATGTGCAATGGAGACCAGCACCATACTGGCAAGAGGAGAACTGAAGCCATCACCAAGGTGATGTAGTGAGAGACAGGTGGGAAGGACCAACCGGAACTCAATTTACCAAGCATCATCCTCCATCTTTACCCTATAAATGACCTTTGTGGACTGGCAAAGCCTCTTTACAAGGGGCATGACCTAGACCTCCATGACCTAGACTGCCTGTTATCTCTGCTTTGAAATGTGTGTGTTTCACACACACACACATACGTGCATAGATACAGCTCTACACTTTGGGAAAGAACATAGGGCAAGTGGGAAAAACAGCAAAGGTCTAGACTGTGTCTTCTAGAACCTAAGGTGTGTTTATGCTTAAAGAAACCTAGAGATGGGTCTCAGAACCTTGTGACCCACCCTGACACTCCCACTGTACAGATGGGGTCCCCAAGGCCTCGATATAGGGGAGATCCCAAGGGCATGCAGCGAGTCCAAAGAGGGAGGACTCTAGGAGCAAGCGAAATGGAAATGGGGAGATTGTCTGCAGCTTGGTCCCTACCACTTCATGACCTGGGAGCTCTGACATCAAAGCACCCTCAGGGTGCTTGCTGGGAGTTGGAGACCCAGGTCCCAAAGGTCCAAAACAGTAATGGCGGAAACCCAGGCACCTGTGGAGGTGAGGTCATGAGCAACTTTGGGATGAGGGGGCACTTTCTGGCATACCTCCCATCATACCCTGAGAGGACAACTTAACTTAGCAAGCAGGTCCCTCTCTCTCATCTCCTCAATTATTTCAAAGGAGCAGATGATTGATAAACCTTGGTCCGCAGGAAGTCCCGAGGCCAAGAAACAGAGAAAGAGAAAGAAAATGACAGAAACACCCCCAAACTCTGCTTGACCGTGAAGGCCTAGCAGGTCTTTGGGAAGAGACTTTGGCCAGCTTGTCTACAATATGGTTCCTCCCCTCCCCTCCCTCCGCCCGCCCCTGTCCCTGCCCCCACAGTAGATGCCTGGGCCAAGTCCCCTCTATTTGGGCTTCATCTCCACCCTGGAATTGATGTCGTCCACATCTAGGTCGTACTCCTCCACGTGGCCGCTGGTCCACACCTTCACGCGGTCCGTGAGGTCACTGTTGCGTGGGGCCAGGATGAAGTCGTAGATCAGTACAGCCAAGGCTCCCCCGATGAATGGCCCCACCCAGAAGATCTAGAAAAGGAACAAGGCCTGCTCAGAGGGCATCGCGTCTGCCCCATGCTCGGAAAGCTTCTCCCGGTTCCCTCCCTCTCCCGCTGCAATATTGGAGGGGTTCTCTCCCACCTCTTTTCAGTAAGGCCTGGGAGAAAGGTGGGCAATACAGAAGCACAAAGCATTCAGAATGGAATTCTGAGCACCAGTGGCTAGTGATGCAAATGGCTAATATGTTTGGCTGCTAACAGAAAAGTTGGAGGTTCAAGTCGACCCAGAGGCAGCTCTGAAAAAACAGCTTGGTGATCAACTTCTGAAAAAATCAGTCACTGAAACCTCGATGGAGTTCAGTTCTGCTCTGAGGCGAGTCAAACTGAACCAGCTGGAAGAAGTGGCCAAGTGGGTGATACTTGGGCTTAGGGATGATTTTGTGGCCCCCAGCCACATGGCATCAGTCCTTCTGAGTGGTGTATCTGTCCTCGCCAAGTCTTCCTGTGGCCTTAATAAGCGTGCCAATCCCAGGTACCCAGAATTAGCCCTAAACCATGACTTGCAGTTGTGGGCATTTCCTTGACTCTGTGCGGCCCAGCACAGGGGGCCTAGCCTGGCCAGTACTAACTTCTTCTGGAAGACAGCCACTGCCCATTCATTCAGGAGGGCTACAGAGATCATTTTGCTGTTGTTGTTGCTTTTGTTTTTGTTTGTGTATGCATGCTTTTCTATTGTTATAAAAATATAGATAACCACAACCACAGAGGTGGTTTCATTTGATAAAAGGTTAGCCTGGAGCAAACACATGTACACCAATAACTAAAATCCTCTAAGCTTTTGCTTCATGTCGAGGTCCTCTTGTCAGCCCATCATCTCCTGAGGGCAAGTCCACCACTTCCTCATTGAATGCATCAGCAAATGGAGCCTCCAAGAGAACAGACAGCCTGCTCTGGAGGCTGGGAAGTGGCAGAGCCTGACTGAAGTCCCGCACATGCCGTTGGAGTGATGTGGACCCAGGTCAAAAGGGACAGGCCTGACTTCACCTTGTCTCCAACTTGAGTTTCCTCATCCATCGGTGTACCAGTCACGGTGCCTCTGCCCAGCTTCTCCTCAGCCTCCACCCACCCACCCGCCGCCTCATGGGGCAGAGCAGCTCACAGGTGTGACATGTTGACCGTGTGGTGGAAAACCCCCTACCCCTCCATGGGTAACCCCAAGACTGCCTACCCAGTGATTGATGAAGTTGCCGGTGATCACCGCAGAGCCGAAGGACCGAGCAGGGTTAATGCCACAGCCGGTGTAGTCAATCTGTGAGGGGAGACAGAGAGATGGAGAGAAAGAAAGGGAAGCAGAGAAAGACAGCAAGGTGTAAAGCAAGCTCCAGAGAAGGATTAGAGGCAGGAAACAGATGGAGAGAAACAGCAAGGGCAGACAGAGATATAGAAAGATGGCGAGGGAGGGGCAGGGAGAGAAGACACACAAAAATCAGTAAGTGGGGGCAGGGGTAAGGAATGCCCAGACCCAGAAAGAGAAGAGGACACTGACACAGAAAAGTCCCACTCCATGTTTTGAGCCCTGTCTGTGGTCCCATTCTCTGCCCACCTCGATGTCCACTCCAGCAAACCCCTTAGCTTCTTGGCTCCATGCCCCCTGCCCCTGGAAGACCTCCTACTCACCGCCAGCAGGTGTCCCAGTGCCACAGAGAGGCCGATGGCCAGAGGGCCAGAGCCTCCAAGGTCGCGGCGTCTTCGGTCAGTGGTGGCTAGCACGCACAGCACCAGCTGTAGGGTGCCAATGATCTCGATGCCCAGGCCTTGACCGGGGTTCACACCAGGCGCCAGCTGTGGGAAGAGGGGCAGCCCGGTGAGCAGGGTGGGAAGAGAGTTAGTTGTAAGCTCCCAAGCCCTCATCACCTGCACAGCCCCTCCTGCAAGCAGCACAGCAAATAGCCCAACGTCTGGAACAGGGACCTCGTCCGCACGCCTCACCTGTTGTTGATGTTACACCCCTCTCATAGCATAGTGGTTACGAGTCGGGCTGCTAACCTCAGGGTCAGCAGTTTGAAACTACCAGCTGTTCCTCGGGAGAAAGATAAGGCTTTCTGCTCCCATAAAGCTTTATAGCCTCGGAAACCCTGTACAGGGTCACTATGAGTCAGTACCGAATCCACAGCATATAACCACTACCATCAGTGCCTGCCAAGGCCCTGCCCATCTGCCTAGAGGTCAGAGAGGTCTGGGATGTGGTGGGGCTTCCAGTCCAGACCAGGAAACCCTGGGGATGGCCAAGGTCATGGGCAGAGAGTTGAGTCCCAGGCATGGAAGGAGCAACAAATGAGTTTGGGGGCCCTACTAAACCACTGTATCTTACCCCCAAGTCCAGCACATTCAACACTACCGCTGCTGCATCTCAAATTCCCAAAGCCAGGGGAGGCTTCTTCAGCAAGCTTTTCCCCAGCTCACTGGTGGCCTCCACCCTGGTCCAGTGTCTGTGTCTCTCCATCTTTCCCTCCCTCCCTCTCTCTAGCCACATAAGCCCCGCCACCACCACACTGTCTGGCTGCCACTTGATCCTGAGTCACTTTTAGAAACATGACTCATGGAAAAAGAAGGGAATGGTAAGGCCACAGAGTCCTCCCCCAGCAGCGGCCCCAGGATCCTCCCAGGGAGCCCCACACTCACCACAGGGGAGTTGGACCAGGTTGGCAAAGGTCCACTTGCAAAGATGCCCAGATGTGACCACCTAGTCTGCCTTCTCCCAGTCAGGGCTGGTGTGGGCTGCTAAGCTGGACAGCTCACCTGCCACATCCCATCCTGAGGGTGCTCCTAGGCCAAAGGCATTTTGCAAAATCCTAGGTGGCCGGCAAGGCTCCACGCCTCCAGAGGTTTTCCTGGTCCCACCCTGAGGCCATCTTACAAAACAATTCTCTTCCCGCCTTTGTCTGCAACCCTGGATTACAGGGAAAATGACTCACATCCCCTCCTCTCCCTCGAAGCCCCAGCTCTGGGCCTCTCCTGGCAGCCCCCAGAGTTGTGTCCTTTGAATCAGCTAGCCCATTGGGCAGTTTTCTTCTGCCCCCAAAGCTAGGCCGTGGAGGTAGGAGCCCAGAGTTCAGGTCCTGGCTTCCACTTGCTGGCTCTGTTATCACGTGCAAATGCTTTTTCCTCTGAGATCCTCAATTTTGCCATCTGTAAAATAGGTCTGCTTTTCCCTGCTCACTCTCCAGAGCAGTTGGGCAGTTCAAAGGTAATAGGACCATCAGGGGGGCTTTTGGCTCCAGAGACAGAAATCAGTGTTCTAGCCCTTGTTCCAGTTGTTTCTCACCACATCCCCAGGATTTGGAACAGGTAGAGGGGAGAGGGACAGAATGAATTCTGCTGGGGGCAGTGCAGGGGTGTGGACTCGAGAGGGAAGGTCACTGAGGCTGCTGGGAGAAGCTGTCTGTAGCTGGGGCGGCTCCCTGGAGAGGTGGCTGGAGCCTAAGGGTTTGGTTCTGCTGCCCCACATACACCACCTGTCAGGCCAACTGTCCTTTGTGTATCTGAACGCTCTCCAAGCTCATGGTTCCTTTTCCCTTACTACTCTCCAGAGCCAGCCTAATTGATCGCTGGCAGCAATCCTGGACCCAGCCCTTCCTAGCTGATTAACAGACTAAGTGACTCTTCAACACAGCCAGCCTCAGAGTCCCCGCCCAGCCCAACCCTCCTGTCCCACTGCACACCACTGTTAGCTCATCCCCTCCACTAGGAAGGCCTCAGGTCTGGAGAGACCCAACCACAACCTGCTGCAGAGCTCTGAGCCCTGGGAAGGGGAGGGGTCTGTCACTTCCCCTGAGAACTCCAGGAAGTACCCTCTTCCTGGGTGCCCAAAGCTCCTAGCCTTCCTCTCCCAATCCACCACCACCACCACCACCATCAGGAAACCTTCCCTGACTTCTCCTTTAAGCACTGCATTCTCTCACATGTGGAAAATAGTGTCATTCTGAACTGGGAGGGGGCAGTCAAACACCTGGCAAAGCTTTGTGTCCAGGAGAGAGCAGGTTGTTGTTAAGTGTGGTCAAGTGGGTTTCTACTCACAGCTGCCCTGTATAGCTTTTCAGAGACCATAAATCTTTGCAGTAGCAGAATGCCTCGTGTTTTCCCCTGTGGAGTGGCTGGTGTGCTTGAACTGCAGACCTTGTGACTCTCAGTCTAGTGCTTATCCTACAGTGCCACACCAGGACTCCAAAAGAAGAGGAAGAAAGCTCCAAAGAATCCATTCAATATGAGCAACTGCTTCAATTGAACCAGTCCCAGTTGCCGTTGCTTGTTATTAAGGGAGAAAAAAATGTTTGCTTAAGGAGCTCTGGTAGAGTAGTGGTTATGAACTGGGTTGCTAACCTCAGGGTCAGCAGTTCGAAACTACCAGCTGTTCCATGGAAGAAAGATGAGGCTTTCTGCTCCTGTAAAGGTTTACAGCCTCAGAAACCGTGTACAGGGTTGCTATGCTTTGGAACCGACTCCACGGCACATAATAAAAACAACAACTATCCCCCAAGTAGTTTTGCTTGTCCCAGATCTTACATTTCACTAAAAAAGCCAAAACAGTAACAACCCATTGAATACAGTTGTAAAAAAATATAGCTCTCTCGTTTCATCTGCAGCATGAGAAAGGCCAGGAAGCAGCTCTCATTTGTAGATCTAGCCTCGTTATTCCACTGCTCAATTCAGAGCCCACCAGTCTTCGTGTAAAAGGAGCTCTGGTAGCGTAGTGGTTATGAATCTGGCTGCTAACCTCAAGGTGGGCAGTTCGAAACTACCAGTCGTTATGTGGGAGAAAAATGAGGCTCTCTGCTCCCGTAAAGGTTTATAGCCTCGGAAACCCTGTGCAGGGTCACTATGAGTCGGAACCAACTCCACAGTACTTAACAACAATAACAAGTTCTGGTGTAAAGAGCTCTGGTAGCATAATGGTTACAAGTTGGGCTTCTAATCTCAAGGTCAGCAGTTCAAAACTAACAACAGTTCCACAGGAAAAAGATGAGACTTTCCGCTCCCATAAAGATTTACAGCCTTGGAAACACTATACAGGGTTGCTATGAATTAGAACCAACTCCATGGCACACCACCACCACCAGTCCTGGTGTGGTGCTGTGGGTTAATGTGCTGGACTGCAAGGTTGGTTTGAACCGCAAGGTTGGCAGTTCAAACCCACCAGCCACTTCTTGAAAACCCTGTACAGGATCAGTATGGGTCGGAACCAACTCGACGGCACTTAATAGTAACAGCAGCAGCTCTAATAAGTCTCCTGGATCCCTAGCTGGAGTTAATTTCTGTCCCCAAGCCACAGGTCCTGTAACTCTGATATGTAGGTGCCTCATCCTCCCTGGCCTGGAAGCTTGGTGAGGACAAGGATGGGGAACCTTCAGCATTTCCCTGCCCAGAACTCTCAGAGGTTCAGCTGTACAATGACCGAAGTGACCAGGAAGATGGCTTTTCTAGAAGCCCCACCCTCTCTCAAGAGAGCCTCCAAATGGAAACACTTCGGACCCAAGGCTGGGAGATCTTTATCTCTCTGACCCTCACAGTGAGCCCATGTGAGGGCTTAATGAGATGACTGTTAAGGGAGCAAAGGCCCAGAAAGGAATACATCTTGCCTAGAATGCTCCTTTCCCAGGGACCTGTGTACCCGCACACTCATAGGCCATGGCACTGCCTACCTACGTCCAGCCAAGGGACCTGGTTGTTTCCAGTTTGGACTTGTTGCTGGCAGAAGGTGGCCCTGTGGCTGCCAGCATGTCCCAGGGATGATCTCTCCCAGCAATGGGCCCCAAATCCTCCCTGTTACCCACAAGCAGGTCAAGCGGGGTGACTTCCAAGGCCCAGGCATGCTGGCACCCCATCTTTGGAAACAGCAAGCTCTAAAACCAAGCCTGGCTGAGGCTCTGAGCATCTGCTCTCAAGGAACAGGGCACAGTAGGCACTGAGACCTGCCCACCTGTCACAGCACTGGACAGTGGGGCCACTCCGCGTCTAGAACTGCCTGCATGGGCGTTCATGTGAGTAGCCACAGCTGTGTGTGATTGTAGCCCAGTGCTGATGGAACACGCATAATAACCAGGTGTGCATCTCCTTTTCTTTTAAGTATGAAGATGAAGAGCGTTGTGATACCGCTAATAAGTGAAAAGTCCGTCAAACAGGTATAAAACTTCTCGGTCTATACGCACCAAGCAGAGTCCAAGAAAAATGACATAAACAGGGACAAGGGTAAGAAGAGAATTTCATCAATCCACTTCCAGAATGGAAGCTTTTAATGCCCATCTCTCAGAATTAGCAGAATGAAGCAAAAAGTATTAATAATACAAACAGGATTTGAACTACATAATGAACAAGCTTGATATAAGGAAAATATGTACAACCCTGTACCTCCAAATTAAAGAAAAAACAACATTCTTTTAACCGCATGTCAGACATTCAGACAAACTAATCATGTCCTGTCCAAAAATATCTCAGCTCTCTCTGAGAATCGTCACCACCCAGGACATTATTCCTTACCGAGGTAGTCTCTCTGTGGTATGTCAGGGGTCTCTAAGTAGTGTGTTGGGGGTGTCTGTGTGGTATATAGAGGGGTATCTGTGTGGTTTGTTGGGGTTTCTGAGTAATATAGCAGGAGGTCTCTATGGGGTATGTCAGGGATCTCTGTGTGGTATGGTGGAGGTCTCTCTGTGGTATGTCGGTGGTCTCTGGGTGGCCTGTGTCCCTGGTGACTGCAGCTGTGTGTTTGAGACTGGACACCTGACGACACTTCTGAGTGCACTGCTGACCACGTCCCTGGGTGTCACACTCCACAGGTGCTTACATTA